TTTTTTTTTTTTTTTGCACAAAGGAAAATGAGGACAAATAAAAAGGAAAATAAAGATAAAGAGACTCAAATCATCTCGGTGATATGCGTGAAAAATTTATATAATAATTACACGAGTCAAACATGAAGATTCATGATATAATATAATTATTTTTTTTGTTAAACAGTTTTGTCATGGGCGGGTTCGAAACCCGCCAGGAAAAGGGGATGTGCACTTTTCAGTGGCTCTAGTCACTGGACCACACGAGCCAAGTACGATATAATATAACTATTTAAAAATATATTAATCTAGAGGTTTTCATAAAAATGATCCGAAAACACTCAAATCTTTCTAACTAAAAATACACCCTGCCTTCAATTTCTCTTTCCGCCGACACAATTGCGTATGCTGTAACCTTTCACGAATAAAAACACTCTATTTTAATAAAGTTCGAACCTTGCCATTTCATCTGAAAAATTAGCAAAAGAATCTGTCGAAATTCCATTAGTAATCTCATAAGGTACATCTAAATTTAAATATTTATGTTAAAAATCTCATATTTAAACTTTAAGATAAATGAAAAAAATTTAAAATTGTATAGTCTACTATCTCATATTAAAAAAAAAAAAATTCCTTTTGTTCGTATGTGATATAAATTGAAATGTGATTCCTCAAGATTTTTTTTTTATATTAATTACATAATAAAAGATAATTTTTTTTTATTTTTTATTTTATTTTATTTATAAATTATGTGATTTAAATTTAAAATTTTTTATTTTAAATAAAAAAAATTATTATTAAATTATTTAAATAATTTACGGATGCCTCGAAATTGAAAAACAGTAATTCCAATCATATACTGATCTGCAGTCCCATCGTTCTTATTCCGGAAACGTTTTTTTGTTTTTATAATCTTTTTATGTCTTCTTGATTGAGTTGGGCCACGAAACATAAAAGAAACCCAACGAAAGGCAAACTTGAACTTGAAACATAGTATCATTGGGCCACAATGGTTAGCTGAGCTCTTAAATGTTTAGTCAATTTGAGACCCTGCAAAAATCCACACTAAATGGTTTCTTCGGAGAAAGCAAACCAAGTGGAAACAAAGGCAAGGAATGATTAATTTCATGTATAGAAATCTGTTGTGCAGTTAAAATTATGTTAAACTACATAACTAAAATTATTAAATAATGGTGAGCTCTTTGAATGTGAGGCTATTCCTCATCTAATGATCGTAGTTTTACAATCGAATGGTTTTATAGTCTAAACAAACCCTTCTATATAAGCCTTTTTGACATCTTTTTTTTTCCTTTCTGATATTCTGTCAATGGTTTTTCTTGATCATTGTGTTTCTATAGAAATAACGTTTCATTGAATAAAAATAGTCTCATGTTTTATAATATAGACTATATCAGATTATAAATAGGAATTAATTCAATATTAAGACATTTACTATTTTACCTTAAACTCCTTATTTAACACACATTTTAAACTGTAAAATGGTTTTTTTAACAAAAATACTCCTCCATTTTCTCTAAGGTATCATAATTATCACATAATAAGGTGGAAATCAAGAGAAAAATGTTAATATGTTGCTGTAAAGAAAAATAAAATTATAACTGTTAAATATACACAATAGTACCATTTGGTCCCTATGCGTGCGGATGCTGTGGCCTTATGTGACATATCTTAAATGTATCCAATCCATATCCAGCCCAAGGCAATTATGATTTTCTTTAGGAGACATTTTCATTGTTTCTGTTCCCAAATTTGATACATTGTCACCAATAACACATGAGAGTTTGAGATTTTAAATTTAAATTTTTAAGTTTTAATTTTGATACAAATAAAAAAATTAATATATAAAAAGATAGATTCAATAGTATAACTCCATTGAAAAAATATATATATATGTGTATATATATATTCATTTCTCATTGTAGCATTTCAAGCCAACCAGATTTCTTATCCGTACCAAGAACATAATTGCATAGACCCTTGACATTACAGAGCTTAGTAAGCAAAATTGCACCAACTTCTTTTTTGTAATCTCTGTTTTTATTAAATAAATTCCAAGTTGTCCCTTTGAAGCAATTTTGTGTTGGTGAAGTGCTTCTTCAATAACTCAAACCAAATTCAGAAAGGGAGTTTTTTCCATTTAGGCGTCAGAAAGAAAGGGTTGATGTTAGGAGGATTAAATGCCAAAAGAAAAAGGAAAAAAAGAAGGAGGGGGGGGGGGGTGTACACACAGAAATTCA